TATTTTGGTTTTTCTTCGGTACCGGGAACCGAACTCACGACCTTGCGCTTGCCAGGCAGGCGCTTTTGCCGCTGAGCTAAATCCCCAGCCCCTATGATACACTCTTGCATCTGTGGAGCTGGCCTGCAGGAAGCCAAGGAACAGAAAGTACAGAGAGAAACAGTGGAGCGGGTAGAGCCCAACTTGAGCTTAGATCCCCTGATCCCTGTGATCCATCCCCCACTGTCCCAAAGCTGGGGGTGGGGCGTGGGGGGTGGGGATAGAGATCCCAAGACATCACATTAACCCTTTCCTGCTCTGTCCCTTGCAGTGAAACATGTAGAGCTAAGGCCCTGCGGGAGCTGCACAAAGTCCTCAGGCATCATCTGTCTATCCTCTCAGCATCCACAGGGGAACTACAGCTCTGAACGCATCTTGGATGGTTCTCCAATGCTAGTGAGAACACTGCTCTCCCGATCTGAAATAATTTCTAGAGGTGGAGATGTCCGCTGGTTCTGCTTGAAAAGGGAAAAGAAGTGACCATCTGGAGTGATCTACATCCACACTTGCCCCTTGTCCTTGGCCAGTGGCAGGGGCAGTGTAAACATCATCAGAGCAGGAGGCAGTGCAAGAAGAAGGAAGAGAGCTCAAGGAAGCCTGAAAATAAGGACGTTTGAAAGCTCACAGGAGATGGGATGTGGTGGCACAGGCCTGTAATTACAGCACTCCGGAGGCTGAGGCAGGAGGATCGCTGTGAGTTCGAGGCCAGCCTGGGCTACGTAATGAGTTCAAGGCTAGCCTGAACTGCATAGAGATCCTGCCTAAAAAAAAAAAAAAAAAATTCAAGAAAGCGCACAAGAAAAGTCGTTCTGAGAGTAGCAACAAGGGATCTTGAGTCAGACAGACCTGGGTTCAAATCCCACGGGGAAATGGCTTGTCGCTGGCCGCTGCTCTCACCTAGAAAATGGGTTTGAAAACCTCTGGCCCTCTGGGTGGTTGTGAACTTTCAGTGCAGTCGCGTCTCCATCGTCCCCAATCAACTTTACTGCGTGGTCACTGGCCTGTCTCCTGTCGGTCTCCCGAGCACAGCGCCAGCACCAGGCGGGTGCGCAGCGCAGGCGAGGAACCCGCGTCCGTGGCCTCGAATCCCCGCCATGCCTTCCGGCCCCGCGCACACCCGGGCAGGCTGGGAGGGGCAGGGGCACGGGCAGCTCCCCCCGGGCCGCTCTGCGGGCTCTCCCCCACCCCCCCACCCCGGGGCTCCCTTCCCGCCCCGCCCTCCCCGGGCTCCCTTCCCGCCGCCCCTCCCGCACCTGTGGCTGCAGGCAGCTCTCGGGCTCCAGGTCCCACCCGCCGCGCCTCCGCCCCTCTCTGCTTCTGTCTGTCTTGCCCCTCCCCGCGGTCTGGTCGTCCAGTCCCCGCCGTCCGTGGTGGCCGAGGCGCGATGAGCTCCGACTGCACGAGCTATGTGAGCGCCGAGCAGGAGGAGGTGCGCGGCTTCAGCTGCCCGCTCCCGGGGGGCGAGCCGGACGCCGTCTTCTGCTGCGGCTTCCGCGACCACAAGTACTGCTGCGACGACCCGCACAGCTTCTTCCCGTACGAGCACAACTACATGTGGTGGCTCAGGTACTGGCGCTGGCCCTAACCCCGCCTGAACCCCACTGCAGCCCTAGTCGCCCTCGCCGCGCCCTCCGCCCGGCTCCTGGCTGAGCCCGGTCTCACCTGAGCGCCCACCAACCCCATCCCTCCCTCCCACCCCCAGGCCCAGACTCCCCTCCCGCGTCACCAGCCCGACTCCCCAAGCCCGCACCGTCTCAGGTGCATCCCCCATCCGGACCATTGTTTAGAACCGAGTTTGAATCTTACCTCAACTCTACCCCAAACCCCTCACTCTGTCCCCACTCCAGACTTCATTTGACCACCACCCTCCATGCAACGCCAAATCACACAGCAGCCCTTGCCTTACAGCAAAAGCACACCTCCAAACGGTCACAGGAACCCCAGACTCCACGCTAGTCCCCGCCAAGGGCCGGCCAGGGTCTCCTTCCTGCCACGGACACCAGCGGCTTCCCTGGCCTTACCTACCTATTCCCGATGTTCATCCCAGTCCTTATTCTGTCACCAGCCCCAGCCTCCTCTCCCACCGCCTGATGTAGGTATGATCTAGACCATAGCCCCACTCCATGCTGCACCCCAACTCGGCCTCAACCCATTCCTTCCCTTTCATACTTACTCTTTCACTCTACCGAACGCTCAGCGTGTGCCAACCCCTTTGGGGCGCTCTGGGTGGTATCCCATCCTCAAAGGAAGTCGGAAGACCCGGGGGTCAAGCTGCCTCCAGTTCGGCGCGTCCCAGCGGCATAATGGCACAGCAGAAGCCAGCCTCGGTCATGTTATAGAGGTGTACTTTGGGTGCGTCCCCTCCCATAGCAGAGCAGTCTCCCCAGATGTTCAAGGAAGGGGTTAGTTAGGCCAGCTCTGCCATTCCTGGGACCGAGGTGCGGGGTTTAGGTTTAATCTGTCTTGGTCTGCAAAGTCCTCACACAGAGATGAGACCTGATCACCAACCTGCTGTGGAAACCAGGCATCACAGTACACGAGCAAAGGCTGCTCGCCCTGTGGGTGGAAAAGAACAAACAGCACTATCTGCCCCTGAAATCTCCCTGAGCCTCTATCTTTCCATCCATCAAATGGGGAGAATGATCCGTCCTTGCCCTGATTTCCAGCTAAGGCAATGGCAAAGATCAGACGAGGTAAGAGGCGAAAACAGCTTGGTCTATGCCAATGACAATTACAAATGTTATTGCTTTTCTGGTGTGCTCAATCTGTAATTCTATAAGGTGTTCAGATGGCTGGGTTTCAGAGCCTGCACAGCAGGCTGATGTCTAAAGCCAAAGGAATCACTAATTTATTTTCCATTCATTCATTCATTCACTCATTGTAACCTTTGCTTTCTCCCAGGCGCTTCACAAGACATTGCAGACACAAAAATCAATTATTCTCTGCCCCAGAGGCACTCCCCGTCCATTGCAAGAGATAGAACTTGCACCTAAAAACTGGAGTATCTGTTGGCGGTCCTCTGTATCTTTAGCACTGAGCTGGGAGCTGACTTTCGCTTTTTGTTGTTGTTGTTTTTATTTTATTTTTAGAGAAAAAAGAACCAAAACATATTAACAAACACACAGACATAAATGAAACAACATAAAAACAATATAAACAATACAGAATTTCATTCAAGGTGAAAAGAAATTAACAATGGTTGTTGCATTACATACTGTTATCTTCATATTGGTACTCAGATAAACAAATACAGACATGCAAGAACGATCAAACAATTCAATAATCAACTGTTCCTTTCCAGAAAGCAATAGAAATTAGTAGTACAATTATCCTGGCCATCTTGTGTGTGTGTGTGTGTGTGTGTGTGTGTCTGTGTGTCTGTGTGTCTGTGTGTGTGTCTGTGTGTATTTTTTCCCTCTTTCTTATTTTCTCCTGTCCCTCAACCCAGTCATTCCTTCCTTTTGAGCAGTTTCTTTCCTTTTTTCGCTATGACTTTTGAATACAGATGCAGTGTGGAGCTTTGGGGATGGTCAGAACCTGGTTCAAACCTTGGTTCTGTCTGAATATCTGTATAGATTGCAAATTCATTTCCTATCCTGGCCTCTGTTCTCGTCTTCAAATGGTGATAGTAACACCTTTCCTGTGGAATCATAAGGAGTAAGTGAAATAATGCACGTGACGTTGACCAGTGCCTGTAAGAGGAGCTCAGTAGAAGAGTTCCCTTTCCTTGGTTCCAGGGTGGGAAAGGAAGCTCAGAGTCCGAAAGTGAATTGTCCAAGATCTTCTAGCAATATTACAGAAGACTGATTTGAAGAACATTACTGAGGGCTGTTCAAGGTGTCAGTGCTTCCACACAACGCTGGCCCCTCGTCTCTCCATGTTGCAGCTGGGAAGACTTGAGAGAAGTTAGGTTATATCTGGGAGTGCCTCAGGAGTGAATGCAGAGCTGGGATGAATACACAGGCTTGTCTGGCCTCCAGCCCAGGGCTGTCCTGTTCCATGACCGTCTAAACCTAGCCTGGCCCTCTTATAACCTGACCTCCTCGGGTCACTTGAAAAGCGCTCACTGACCCTGCACTGTTTTTCTGAGCACTGGGCGAGCCTTAGGGGACACAGAACTGAGGAATCCCTTCAGCACCCAGCCAGGGCCTTTTCCCTCTTCCTTACTCCCTCCCCTACACACCTCTTTAGTCCCTTCCGTTGCCTGGGAAACCCTGTCCCCGTGGAATGCTCTAGTAGCTCAGATGATGCGTTAGTGATGGGGTGATCTCTGAGGTCACATCCCATGTCACTGTGACCCAAAGGCAGCTGAAATGTTCCAGTCTATAGGACAATTCTTCCAGGGCTTGAACAGAACATGATTCATACACATCACAGACTATCATTCCTCCTTATCGATGGAGAAGGGGAACTGAGGGCCCTTAGGACATCCAGGTGATTATTGTGCTCTGAACCCTGAAACAGCCTTTCCAGCATGCTCCTGATGGAGCCCTGCTACTGCAGGGTGGGGGCCTTGTTTGGCTCGGAACTCTACTTGGCCCTTTTCACAACAGCTGTTCCTTACAAACAGAAAAATCACCGGGTAAGCACTGTTTCCTTGGAGAGAGAATGCTGAGGAGAAACGCTGATTTTTAAAAGGGGAGCATATCAGAAAGTGAGGATACCCCGTGGAGAAGCAGCTGATACTATCATTCCATCTGGTCCATTTGCCAAACACACTCTGTAGCTAGTTTTGCATTTTTACCAGGATGTGAGGCAGAAGGCAGCAGCCTTGCTGGAGGGCAAGTTGGTGGCCAGGTCCTGCATACACCATCTGCTTTTATCCTTACACCTAACTGGTGAGGGAAGAAGCTTGGCAGTGGAACAGCAGAAAGAGGGAGTGATCTCTCAGCTTACAGGTGGCAGAACCAGGATTCAAACTCAGAACTACCTGGTGACTGCAAAGTGCTTACTTGTTAGGCTGCCCCTCCAGTACTTTCTTAGGGGTCACAATAGAGGTTTTTTCTTTTTTTTTGATCTTTCAGAGTCAGAACAGTGAATTCCTACAAGCCTAGAAGCTCTCTAATCTAATTTCTGTGCAGGCAGGACCCTGGCTTCATCAAGAGGCAGCCTGTGAACCTCTCCTGAGACAGGGAGCATGCCATCTCCTGAGGAAGCACCTCCACACGGACAACTCTTTCAGTGCCAGTTCATCTTACACTAAAAGCAGATTTTCTAGGAGTGGGAGGATAGCTCAATAGCAGAGCGGGTGCTTAGCATTCACAAGACTCTGAATTCAATCCCCAGCACCAAACAACACTAACCAGGTTTCCTCCCCTGAGGGCCTTTCCCAGGTAGTGCCTGCTGCCTGACTAACCTCCCATCAGGGACTCCTCCCCCAGTTCCCTCACCCACTCTGCAACAGGCCCTTTTTGGAGACCCCGTCCATCTAGGTGCCCATTGGTGTCCCTCATAGAAGATGTGGCCCCCATCTGGGCACAGATCTACCCGCCCTAGGAACAATAAGTATATCTCAAATGAGAAACACAATTTCTGATTAACTTGCAAGAACTGAAAAGCACTTTCAAGTATTGGGGCTGTTGGCACTTTGTGTGAAAACTGAGAAAAGGACAGGAGAAACAAAAGGAGAAAGGAACCATGGAAAATCCAGTGTCTTAGCTTGGTTTCCCAGAAGGCTCAAAGACAAGGACTGAATGGCAAATTGTTTGTATGGAAAGATGTCCCAGAAATCCATAGTAGGGTGTAGGAAAGAGAGAGAGGGAAGAGAAGAAGCCACTAATGGGTGTGTTAATGAGCAACTCACACCAAAGTAACCAGAGCTCAAGCTCTGCCAGCCAGTGTCAAGCGTACACCTCAGAGTTATCCCATGGGAGGGCCAGGAAGCTGGGTATTTATCTACTAGTTTGTGTCAGTCATTGGTTGTGGGCTGGTGGAGGAGAGAGGAATTAATTACCCTGCACTTCTGACCTGCCCAGTGTGTAGACAGAGCCTGTCTTGGGTCCAGGAAAGCCCTCTGGCAGAGATACAGAGGTGGGCAGTTGAAACTCTGACTGGAATTTTCCACAATGATTAGACCCAAGGGAAGGTGGACAGCACATCCACAGCTGCACTCAGAGACATGTGTTAGCCGCTGGGTGTATTTCCGTCCAAACTCACATAGATATAGATAGGCACATATTTATGTTTATGTAGTTAAATTGGGGCTGTGCTATATATTTAGTAATGGGGCTTGCTATTTTTACTTAACATGATCTCCTAAGAATTATTCTGTGATCTTAAATATTATTTGAACACTTTTTTTTGTTTTGTTTTGTTTCCGGTACCGGGAATCGAACTCACGACCTTGTGCTCGTCAGGCAGGCGCTGTGCCGCTGAGCTAAATCCCCAGCCCCTTGAACACATGTTTTAATGGCTCTATATTATTCCATTACAGGGACATTCAGTAATTTCTTTAGTGATAGAAAGACAGACTCTTCAAAACTCTGAAGATGGAGTCTCACCGTGTTGCCCAGGCTGGCCCTAAACTCCCGGCTCAAGCAAACTTCTTACCTCAGCCTTTCAAGTATTGGGGCTGTTGGTATGTGCCAACACATCCAGCTCTAAGACAGCTCTAAGATGTCTTAGTGGAAATTAACCATCAGCTCACTGGGATGAGATCTACAGAAATGGCAAAGGTAGGAGTCTGAGGCTAGAGTCAGAGAGGAAGAGACATAAGAGAACTGAAGAAGGGTAGGCAGGAAAAAATAAAGTCTGGTACCTGTCTCTCTTCTGAATTAGTTACTTTTCCTGTGGCTGAGACAAAATGTCCAACACCCAAAGTTAAAGGAGGAAAGGTTTATTTGGTTCACACCTTGTAGAGGTTTCAGTCTGTAGTTGGCTGTCTCCGAGGCAGGGAAGCATGGCAGAGGGGCTTCGAGGGGGAGAAACAGTTCAAGCCTGGCTGAAGGCAGAGGCAGCAAAGCAGCAAGCAGAAAGAGGCAAGGAACCCTCTTTAAGGCCCCTGTATCCTATTCAGGCCACCCACCCTTAGGGCAGGTAGCTCTCATTCCCAGTGTGGGGCACCCTTAATCCTAGCATCACACCATGAATTAATCCCAGTATCACATCTATGATCCTAGTGTCACATACTCTAGATCCAGCCATCTCTGAGAAGCCCCACGTTCGACTGCAGGAGTTATTGGGGGACATCTAGACACAAGCGGCAACACCTTCCTATTGGAGAGTATCCTACAGTGCCTAACACATAGTAGGTACTCAACAGTGTTTACCAGCCCCTACCATGTGCCAAGCGCTGTACAAGGAGAAGACAAAGCTGATTAAACATGGCTTGACTCTGTCTTCAGAGGACACACGAGGAGTATGTTGAACACCTACTGTGGGCCAAAGATATCTCAATGTCATTCATTCTGTTGCCACCTGTCAGGCGCTGTGTTTCAGTCATTCTCATTTTTCAGACAAAAAGGCTGAGGTTTCAAGGGGTAAATAGCTTCATTAAGATCTCACTAAGTCACTACCTGGGCTGGGTTCCTAACCTAGACAGCTCTGTTTCCAAAGCCTTTGCTGTTTGCCTACCACACCAGGCTGCTGACCAAAAGGGAAGCACCCTGTGTGGGTCCGACTGGCATTGGAAGAGGAGTGGGGAGGAGGAGGAGGACTAAGGAGAGTATGAAGGATTAGATATTTGAAGTGGGGCTCCAAGGACAGATTGAATTTCATTGTCGGGAGATAGTGGAAGACAGTCATGTGAAACAGGAAGGATGGGGATCCCCAAATGAGCTAGGAGGCAGTTTTCTAGAGACAGACATGATATTATATGACAATAAATGCATGCTTGGTCTTTACTTCCACTTGCTGAGATGGAGTGCTAAAACCTTGTAGAAATGTTGCTGGGAGAGTCTTTCATTCTAATGTCTGGTCTTGGATTCCTAGCTCCTGACACAGAGCCCCAAAAAGATGATAGCAATATCTTGTTTTCTGAGATGCAACTCTTTGTGGGCTCTGGATGGGGCTGGTTGCTGGGGAACCAATCATGGGTCCTAGCCCAGCCCAGACCTACAGCGAAGGGAGAGGAGCTGAGGGCTGCGGTGCTCCCTGAGGGCTAGTGATGGAATAACCAGGCCTGTAGGAGAAAGCCCACGTAAAAACTCAAAGGCTAGAGCTAGAGAGCCTCAGGATAGCTGAGGGGCAGCCCCCTTAGAGAGGTAACCCCCGTGCTTAGCTCTGGGCATTGCTTCGCACCTGCCGTTCATCTGCATCCTATGTAACGTGCAGGTAAATGTAGGTTTCCCTGAGTTTTGTCAGCCACCCTAGTCAATTAATCAAGCCTGAGCAAGGGATCCTGGGCACGCTAATTGATAACTGTTGGGTCACAAGTGCAGGTGACAACCTTTGACTTGTGATTGGCATCTAAACTGAGGGAGGCAGTTGCATGGGACTGAACCCTCAACCCATGGGATCGGATACTATCTCCAGGCAGACAGTGTCAAAGTTAGTTAAATAATAGAATATATATCCAGTACTAGAGGACCCTTGGTGTAGGTGTGGGGAAACCCACATATCTGGTGTCGGAAGTGCTGTGTTGAATGGCATGAGAGAGAAAAACGGGCTTTTTTCTTTCATACCAAGTGACCACGGCCTGAATTTGACAGAGGCGGTGAGATTGGAGGGGCGATATTTTACATGTGGAGTTGACACTGGTGTGGTCAGAAGGACCATGGAAACTAGGTCAGAAATTACCTTGAGGCTGGAAGGACACCTGGTTTTTAACAAAGCCCTACTATGTGTTTTGATTTGGGGAGCAAGGAGCCTTTCAGGCCACTTTCAGCTCCCTGGGGTAGGTGGGAGCAGGTGCAGAAAAGCAGGGAGGGAAGGAACACACACCAGGTCCCAGTACTCGGTGACACCGAGGCACATCATATTATGCCTGTGGCAAGTATCTGGTGGAGTGGTTGCTGCTTCCCAGGCTTGGTGTGGGAAGCTGTATAAGACAGATGTGGGCAGTGTGGAAGTCAGAGCCAATTCCTGCTGGGTTTCTCCAGCATGTTGCCTCCCAGAGCCCTTGGTGCTCAGCATCCTGTACTTTTCTCTTCCCAGTGTCGGTGCTCTGGTGGGCCTGTCCATAGCAGCAGCAGTCCTCCTGGCCTTCATTATCACCCCCTGCGTCCTTTGTTACCTGTTCATCCGCACAAAGCCCCACAGGAAGCTGGACCCAGGCTTAAGCTTACAGATCACAGGTAAGAAAAAGGCCACAAGCATTCCTTGGTTTCAGCAGGTCTTTACAGAAGGGAGGTAATTAGAAGTGACTTTCAGATCTTTTGCCTCATGAGTTCCTGGACTATTTAGCAGCAGCAGCAGCAGCAGCAGCACATTTCTCAGGAGGTTCACAATCTGAACATTTCCATCCTGAATCTTCATGGGCTCAGTGTTCATCAGTCATTTAATGTAGTCAGTGCTCCACCATCGTGCAGAGACTAATCCATTTGGTAGATTTTCTAGGACAATGTTTAATTCTAGCCTGGGGGAATGCAAACTGATTATAGTATTATCACAAACAAAACAGAATTAATAAGAGAAATTTGCTGCTCCACACACACAATTTACTCAGAAGCTAAAATCAGGCATTTTTTTTTCTTTAATTATCTGATGTTCTGACTAACCATTCTTTCATCAGCAAAGAATATTGAGAGCTTCTAAGGGAAAAGGCATTGCTTTTTTTTAATTTTAAAGAGTAAAAGAAGGATAACATAGTAATAGGGGGATTTACCGAATTACAGACAAAGTGGTAGGACATTATCAATGGTTGTTATTTTACCTATTGGTATCTTCAAGATAGTTTCTCAGGAAAACAAATAGACAAGTAGTGGTGAGTTACAGACAAAAATGGTAGGAAATTATCAATGGTTGTTGTACTATATTTTGGTTTCTTCAAAATGGTTTCTAGAGAAAACAAATAGAGCTATACATGAGTGATCAATTAAATAATCATTGACTATTCTCAATGGTTGTTGTTGGAAACACAGTAATAAACATACATCCATTTATGATACAGCACAGGAATAATACAAACATTACAGAGGTATGGACAGATTGGTAGGAAATTATCAATAGCTGCTGTAATACATGTTGGTATCTTCAAAGTGGTTTCTCAGCAAAATAAAGATATGCAAGAAAGATCTAACAAGTAGTTGTAGCCTAAGGATTGTGAAAAATAGCAGATTACCTTCTCATCAGAGACTCCTTTCACTGAAGTATGACGGCTGGAAGGAAGGCCACGATTGAAAGGAAGGACCGAGAGACTAGCACCAGTGTCCAGCAATAGGCTGTTTTCTTTTTCCTCTGTAGTCATGATTATGCAGGGCTCCTCCTTGGAGATAATGGTCTGGCCAGAGGGAGAAGGCAGAGTATGCCCTGGGCCCCTTCATTCCTGAGGACCAGCTGGTAGGAGGGGTCTGAGCTCTGGGGCCTTCACTTCAGAGGGCAGTCCGGCCTCTAGTGGCCACCTTTACAGTCAGGGCATGGCCCAGGGGGCTTCTTAGGGCAGTCCCTCTTGAGGTGGCCTGGCTTTTGACAGTGATAGCAGATGAATGTAGTCAATGAGTTCTTCTTGGGGCCCTGAGAATCAGACTTAGGGTCTGTTTCTCTTAGTGCTACAACAAAGGCAGCTGTTTTTTCTCGGTCTTTTTGTTTTCTCTCCTTGGCTTCCTCCTTGTCACGGCTATAAAATACTGAGGAGGCCATTCTTACTAACATCTCAAGTGAGCTATTTGAGGTAAAAGCCATTTTTGTAGCTTTTTTCTACTATCTGGGGCTGACTGAGTAATAAACTTATCTTTAAGAATAGTTTGTCCCTCTACTGAACTGGGATCCAAGGACATATGCTTCATCAATGCCTCTTGTCTAAGAAAGCAGAGAGGTGTTCTGTCCAGCCTCCCAGCACAATGGGACCCCACAATCACTTAGTGTCCCCTCCCCAACCATCAACACAGGCAGCAGGAACGTGTGGATGAAGTCCTCGGCCCGCTAGTCAGTCTCAGCACTATCAGGTGCGAAGTGTCCCAGGCAGGTAACCTAGACACGTACCTTCTCCATGAAGGCAGTTCTTCAGAATCTGAATATTGGGCACCCATGTAATCCATGAAGTCTCGGTGCAGACCTCTCCGGAGCTCCACTCACTCCTCCACCGCAGCCTGTACAGTTAGGGGAAGAATGGCCTCCAGGGTGTCTCCCCAGGTGTTGCGCAAGGTCCGGCTGGTTTCCAGCTCCCTAATGGCTCCTGCGTCCCCAGTCAGCTCGACCTCTGAGTTGTCGGGCGTCATCTGCACTCTCATGTTCTCCGAGTCCTTGTTCATCAGCTGCTCCTCCGCTGACTCCGGACCTTTCTGGCTCTCGAGGGCAGGGCCAAGAGTGACCCGCCGTGTGGCATGGTTTCCCAGAAGTTTCTCCATGTTGGGATGGTTCACACACATCTCTGGGTGGGCCTATTGTGTCGGCGCTTCTCTGTGGCATGGCGGTTCTTGACCGTGAAGCAGTGGCCAGCTTGAGGGCCGGTGTGCATCTCTGCACCGCTTACCAGATGCCTGCTGCCTGCCTTTCTGGGTGCCTGCGCGGCTGGGGGCCGGCCCCAAGAGGGCTGGTGCTCCCCAGCCGCAAGGCCTCCCGGGTGGGCGCCTGCGTGGCTGGCTCAGGAATTGCTTTTTTTTTTTTTTTTT